CATACATAAATACATACATACATAGATACATAGATAGATAGATAGATATACATAATTAGACCCCAATGGAGTTCGTCACTATTCCATACATGGGATGAGTTTGGTGGACTTTTGGACCTTCCGAGAAATGGGCCGGTCTGAACGGATGGCGAGACGGGCGCAGGTCGCGGACGGGCGGTCGATTCGGACCCCATGGACCGGAGGGTCCCCGGTCTAGGATGGATATGATATGGATAATGAGATAAATATAATTACAGTAACAACATGTATTTTAATGTGTTTTATAGTATTGATATGTATTGAATGGTATTGATATATGACATTAGAATGATATAATCACTATATCTTGTGCTTTTTGCATAACCATATGACATATATTGGTGTTGCCTCGACCTAGATCACTTGCTGCTCCATTTCCGCACCCCTTCGCCCCGCCCACCTGGGGCGACCGCCGAGTGCCATCGTGGGAGCACGGCAGGACATGTCCAGTGCCATCGAGTTCCTCAAACATGAGGTGGGCAGCTCCAAAGAGGCACGAGGATGGACTGATCGGATTCTCCGCTGCGTTGTGTGTTTTTTCCTCCCAATCTTTTTGGTCATGTCTCAAAGAGGTAAGGATTCTTCTAATCCATGCGGAATCCGGAATTCCCCGGACCCTGAAGGATCCTGAAAGGGTTTGATCAGTTCGCCCTCCATTGAGTTGTTCGATGTCATGTTATCGATATTTGATATATTTGATGCCTTCTTTACAGGGAAACGCCGAGCAAACAGGATCCCTAGCATGGGATCGTTTGCTTCAGAGTAACATTGAACATTTCGATGATCTCCACTTCAAACATGGCCCTGATGACATTTCCTGATGGCGCTTTTCCTATAGTAAGCGACCCGCTTTACTTCAGACCTGAGCCTTTGCTGGAAGATTGTAGACGGGCCTACTTTGTTAACTGTGGTTTCCCTCAGTACTTGGGCGCGCCACTTGGGGGGGTTGTCGGAGTGAAAATCCACTGGCCACTTGCATCCCGGTCGCCTATGGAGAAGCCCATCTCACCCTTCTCAACCATTCTGGGGATGCTTTCCCACCTGTCAGGCACTCAGCAGTAGCGGATTGAGGCCTGCCCACCGGCCGGAACCGTCTCGTCTCTTTCTTCGGACCAGCAGGGCTCGGCAGGGAGGACTGGCCTCTTTTGGTGTGAGTTGGTCGAAGTGTAGATTTGGTGCGTTGGCAGCAGCAGCAGCAGCAGCATCATTCCGTGGTGCCTGAAACTTGGGATTCTTGATTCTTGGATGATTTTGGGACAGTCAATGCAGCACTCAATTGCTATTCCCATGTAGGCAACTGGTCCTGCAGTGGTTCTAATGTGAAGCTGGACTTGTTCACCACGGGCCCTTGTTCCGGAGAATGGAAGGAACACTTGTGGAGGCCGACTATGAACATGTTTATGATCCATAGACACCATTCTCTACCCATTCCAAGAGACTATCCATTGGGAGATTTTGGGCGCAAGCCCGGTGGTTCTCTACCCGGTTCTAACTCGGAGCCCAGAGAGCCAGCCGAGGTTTGGTTCGATCACCTCTTTGGGCACTGACTGATCAGTCAGTGATTCAATCGATTCAATCCACTGCGATTCGTTCCACCTGAGATTCGTCTGTTCCTGTTTGTCTTGTTTCATCCCAGATTTGTCCGAGATGTTCAAGGACAAAAAAGGTTGGATAAGGATCACATTCCAACCGCCCGGGCATGGTTTAATTAGGGATGCTTTCAGCAACCAGTAATTCTTGAGCTCGAAAGATCTTCTAGATCCTCCAAAGCCAGCCGTCGCCAAGCCTTCGCAGCCTGCATATAGTTCGCCCAACCCTGAGGTGAGTCTCAGTCAAGAGGCTTGTAGTCCTGAAGCCAAAAAAGGCAAATCCCATCGATGGCCAGTCACTGGTGGCCAGTCAAAGTGGCCAGGACTTATAGAGGATTTATACGTCGGGCCATGCATCCACGATCCATATACTTCCGGGAACATCGGGAGTGTTTGACAGTCATCGGCACCCCAAGGCATAGGATGTTTCACATCCCATGGATTGGGGTTGCAATTTGTTGTTTGCTGAACATGCTGAACATATTCCTAATTAGATTTGAAGGAAAAGGGTGAGGTGAAAAAACCTTTCGCCGCGGGCGTGACATCTGGCACCCGTGGCCCACAGCCAGCCTCACAGCCGCAGGTGAAGGCGGAGCGAGTGGAAATGATCGGAACTGGTAGGATCATGTCCTGGTTGATTTCGACTTGGAACAGAGAATCTATCCTACCTAAGGGGAAAACAAGATACCAAGCAGAGGTAGTATATTCCAATAAAGACGATCTCTTTTTTTGGTGGAAGAGACTTGTTGACGTCTCTCGTAGGCCTGGCCGTGAGGTGGAACGCTTTCTGGGGATCCCTGGAATTCCGCTGGTTCCCAGCGGCTTCAGCCCTAACTTCAGCCCTATAGACTGGGAAGACAGGGCAGAAAGCATGCACCCCTTTCCTCTACTCCGTTCGCTAGTCTGGTTGAGCAGAATACTGAGTGTATGAAGAGTCCAGAGGGGTTCTACTTGCAAAAACACGTCGTTTTTATATGTTCCCCTTTAAATCACATTGATCGACGAGAGTTTCACCAAAACTCACATCAAGAACTCCCAATGGACACGGCCGCGATCCTGGTCTCTTCTCCACGGTGTTCGGCCGTTTCGGTCGTTTCGGTCGAGACGAATCCACCAGGGCCCGGCGTCACCGGCGCCACCGGCGCCGTCGCGATCGCGTTCCGTTTCATCAGCACAGCTGCAGAGGTATATAAGTGTTCCTTTCCAGAAAGTATCTAGTTGCTGTTTTTTTTCCCCAAGTGGTTGCGTGCACCTTGAAGTGAGGGATATAGTAGGGGATAGTGATATAGTAGGGGATGTAGTTCCCACAACTTCCGGTCGGAAGAGTTGGGTGTGAGAACAGTGTTTTCCAATGGCCACAGGAAGCATGGCATAGCCATCACGGCCTATAGATCTACACCACACACAGGACGGCTATTGAGGTCAAATGCTATTGAAGTTTACTTTGGATGGCCCAACTAGAGCCAGTCCTGGACAGCCCAGACCGGTGTTGGGACACTTTGTGATAGTCACTCCACGATTCGGACAAATCGGTATTCACTTGTGTACTGTGTACACATGGAATCATATTCTTCGATCCTGGGCATGTATGGAGACATGGACTTTGATCAGACTGTTTGACCTATCAGTGAATCACTCCCTAGAAGTGCCTAGGTGGAACCGCGATGCTTCGTTTTAGCCCTTCCCTGGGCACGGATTGAGTGACTGGTCAGGGCACGGTTCGACGGTTCAAAAGACCTCGGTGGTTTATTTGGGGATGATTGGATGATGCGACTGAAGCACCCCAAAGTGGTCAGCCAAGAGGTTTGTGCCAAAGCTGTCTATTTCAGACCCGTCTCTCCAGAGTGAAGAGGTTGGAACTTAAGTATAAATTCCATGAGAAAGCTGCTGCTGATCCCGTTTTCCAGCATCTCTCGATCTCGCTCGCAGTCACTGGGCGTGCCCCCGCTGGGTACACTATTGATGATTCCCACTAAAGCCCGAGTTAGAGCAAGAAAATGATGGGTTGAAAATTACTGCTCATAAGATTTGTGGGTGATTTGACGTAGACACCGTAGACCCTTCTCACTATATGTCGTTCGTCCTTAAAAACCCAAAACGACTCAGATTCCATATATGAATGTTGTGGAGACTTCTCGAGCTTCAAAACACCGTCGCTCACCCATACTATGTCTTCCTGAAGAAGATTTTGGATGAATGTACTCCATTCCAACTGGTGTGTACATGTTGAATATTGTTTCATACTCTAATTTTATTGATCGGCCATTTTGTGACCTGGGTGTAAAGGCGTTATGTCACCCCATGACTGCGGCTGCAAAAGTTAACGTCGGGTTTGCTTCCTGCACTGTCGCTGAAAGCAACTCTGAAAAAGAGCGCTTTTTCGCTTGGCGCGGCGCGATCGGTCCGATGGATGTCCGCTGAGACGACTGGTGTCTTGGTGGTGCCAAGACATCCTGTTTGAAACACAAAGAAAGCTCATCAGTCCGATGCCTCGGACAGATTTGTCCAGTTCCTCCCGGTCTTCGAGCCCAAAATGTGTCAGCTTTCGGTCGACCGAGAGCGGAGAGCAGCTGAACTGCAGAAACCGGTCCTGCAAGTTGTCAGGACTTGTGTAAGAATGATTCCCCTCCTCCAGACAATCATGCAAGTGGAACAAGGAAATTAATATGCAGCCCTCGCTTCAGTTTCTGAAAAAAATCTAGGAACCAAATGAATAGTGCAAGCGCTTCTTCAAGGAAGCTCCCCCCTGCCGCCTTTAGGGCGGCGGGGGTAGCTTCCGTGAAGAAGCGTGAGCTATCCTGCGTCCTAGGTAGTAGCGTTCTTGTAGCTACTAGCTACCTAGCTACTACTACCTCTAGCTACCTCTAGCGGCCTAGCCCCCCTAAAAATGGAATGCTGTTTTTTTGTAGCATAGTTCCTCCCTGCTTCCATGTTGAACGTCTCACGGCCTCGCGACTTCTGCTCCGACTTCTGGACTTTGTAGGTCCCACCATCCACGATCAAGAGTGATGATGAGTGATGTGAAAACACAACACGAAGTCCTGCATTTCGAACAGAGTCACCCATTGCCCATGATCATCCCTTTTTCTTGATCTATTGATGCTACTTTGGGGGTGTTGCTCCAATACCAGGGATTGGGTCGGTTGGGTTGTCGGGCCAGTCTTTGGAAGATGTTGGAGCCAGACGATTGACCAGGGTGACTCGGATCGCGCCGCTGGTGGATGGCGACTCGGATCGCGGATCGTGGAGATGGCGTGGAACCTGACTCTATGAATCCATCCCTGCGGAGGGTCTTCAGGTGCCAAGCAGATCATTCCACCCGCAGATTCTGGCCAGAGCTGGTGGTGACGCGACTTCTGCGCCTCACGGCAGGTCATGGGCGTGGTGGTGGTGGCCACTGGCGTGGGCATTTGTACCTGGCCGCTCGGCAGAGACGGAGGGACGTGACGCTTCGGAGCGGCCGGTGGGGCGAATGCGGTGGCTCGGCAGGATCGAGTGGGCAGCCAATGCGGTGGTCCAAGCCGGTTGGATGAACTATGATGAATCCCAGACACTCCATGGGACTGCCATATATGCCTACATTGACCCCCAAAATGACCCCAATGTAGGCATATATGCATGATGAATTGTTTTGGGCACCGATTCAAGGAACTGTGACGTGTTGGAGATTTATAGATGGGCTTTTGGGCTTTCCCATTTGCTTTCGGGAACAGCCGTCGCCGTAGCCTAACTAGGCCTAAACTATGCCTGATGGGATAATCGAAAAGTCATGTGGGATAGTCCGTTGTTTGCAAATATACCTCCTGCATGATGGACATGTATGGAAATAAATAGAATTCCACACATCTTCACAACATCTACATCCTTCATCCTACACCTAGTAACAAGTGCATCGCTACTAGTAACAAGTGCCTTACTAGTAGTAACAAGAAGCTATTAGTAACAAGAAGCTACTAAAACCCCTTCATCTACTTCCATCTATCGAACATCAACCGTCCTCCGTCCTTAGGCCGAATCTCACGGGCGACGGATTCACGGCCGGGGCGCTGAGTAAATCTCCGTTCTGCATGTTGTTCTCATAAAGAGATGTCATATATATGTTGTTTAAAGATGTCCGTACTCCGTACCGTTGTTTTTTTTCGTAGTTTTAATATTGTTGGTGCATTTTGCTTGGTCACCTAAATGGGCCAGAACAACAAACTCGTGACAAGGTTGCTTGGGACTCATGTCTACTGATGTCTACTGTCTACTGGTGGTTATCTATTAATTGTCTATTCATACCCAAGGTGTCCCTAGGTCGCTGTCATCAGGTCCAAGATAGATGAGGGTGATACTGCCGGGAGGATGGTTTCATATGGTTTCTATGCAACATGTTCAGTTCTTTATTGTAAAGAGTCCCTAGAACAAGGAAGAATTTCATCACTGTGCGAATGTCAAGTTATATGTTTGGATTTTGCAATGGTACGGTGACTGGCAAGCTACCAGATGGGGTGGAACTGATTCCACCAAACATGCTTTTGAGCTCCAGACACTTGCAAGATCTGACCAATAGGTCTCGCACCAATTCCTTTAGTGTGCTGTGCTGCCAACCAAAGCAACAATTGTGGCCCGTTTGCGGCTCCATGAGTGAATCAGTGTGTATTTGCTGACATGTGGCACCTCGTTGCTTCCTTGGTACTGCGGTACCAAGTACTGGTTTGCCTTGGTATTGGCATGTACTGGCTATCGTTTTGCCAAACGGTACTGTTTGCCTGAGCTCCTGTTTTGGTTGACCATTTGATTGCGATGAGCGGGATTTTCTTCACCTTTTCACGGGACCGCATGAATGACCTTTTCACGGGCCACCGTGCGGGCGGAAGCAGCTCTGAAGCTCTGACGACCGAGGTGTATCGAGGAAAGATCTTCGAATCCCTGGGCCTCTTCATGTCCTACGGTTTCATCTCCATGTCGTTGGTTCTCAAGGACAGACCCGTTTCCGGACAAAGGAAACGGATGTCTTCCAGGTTCGGTCTCGACCCCGCTGGGAAACCGATTCGGTGTTTCATCCAGGGTCTAATATTTGAACTTCAACTGTGTTTTTGGTGTTTGGGTGCTGGGGATTCGGCTGAAATCATTTGGAAACTGAATAACTTAATCGTATCGCTGGATTGCTGACAGGAACCTTTGCATGCAGGTGTGTTGACATGTTTTCTTTGTATTTGGTTGTTTGATGCTTCTACAAGCAGGACGGCTCCATCCTAGACCAAGCAGTGTGCATGCCATCATCCAACATCAGCAACCACGGTGTGCCAGCAAGAGTGGCACATCCAAGAAAACCTGTCCTTGTCGACTGAGGCGTCGTTCTTATTGGCATGTATTAGCGGTTGTTTTGGGCATGTCCTTCACTGAAGTCGTGATGCCGAGACCCTCACCCCCACATCCGCAGAGCTCCAACTGGCCAGGAGTTGGCTTTTGTCCGCTTTAAGAAGTGGCGCAAGGAGAACGGGCATAAGAAGGTGCTTCGTCCGTCCACGCAATGCGCGGCGCGTTTGATCTGGCGAGGTGTTTTTTGCGCGTTGGGTGGGCAGGAGCAGCGTGTGAGGCATGCGTCAACACGCGAAAAGGTGGAAGGGGTTTAACTATATATAGTTGTTTTTTCCAAGGCCTTTCGTTGACTTATTCAGGCTCTAAGATCCTTACAACAAATAGTCAATTACCCAAGCTATTTATAGGATGTGGATTCTCACCATTGGATGGTGAAAAGTCGTCCCTACTGGTCCACCCCACAGTGAGGCAAGAGTCCAATGAGTGAAGTGATATGACTGCGTGGTCGGGGGAATGAGCTCTTAGGCAGGCATACCAACTGTGAGTAACCCGTCAGGCCCCAAATAGATCGAAACCCTTTCCAATACATTCTAGATGTGGGGAGCTACTTTTCTACCTATTTGGGGACATATTGGGGTTTCCAAAATAAATTGACTTCGGATTTGAACGAAGAGTGGAGACCGTTTTGGTACTTTCCTTTCGCTGGCCGCCCTGGGATCTTAGTTTGTAGTGTTCTGTGGCGAAGCAATCCAAGTCAAGAGTCTTGAGGAGAGAAAGCTTTGCCAAAAAAACAAGCTATATAGTTCAGAACTGGCATGAGATTCTACTACAAGCATCTACAAGCTGTGGTACCTGGCGTGATTGCAATAGTTTTTCCACAAGTTTCATGGAGGATAGTGGAGGGGCTTTGGCTTTGGTGAAATGTAAGATTTGTAAACATATTCATTCCGACCACACAAGGGGGCCATGCTCAATCTCCGAACCCAGTTGGACCCCATCGACCCAGTTGAACGTCAACTGGGTCAACCGGGTTCAACTGGGTCAACCAGGTGAACTGGGTTCGGAGATTTAGTGTCAACTGGGGTAGTTGTTTTATCGTGAAAGAGCCCAAAAAAAATCCGCCCACACCGCTTGTCGGTGCAGGGCGTGCTATTGGGGCTCTTGCCGTCGAGCTCTGCATTTTAGCAAAAACATCCTATGCATATAGCCCTGCTAGGGGGGGGCTCTTTTTTCATGCGTGCGTGGCTATGGTTGAGCTGCACGGCCACTGGGGAGAGCGTTTTGGAGGTACATGTTTGGATGATTTTTCGTTACGTCGTGCTTGCAGGGCCACTGGGGAGAGCGTTTTGGAGGAGTTTTTGTGTTTTGGGGTGGTTGCTGCGTTGATTCTTGCTCGGCTGCAGGGCCACTGGGGACAGCGTTTTGGAGGTGTATTTTTGGATGGCTTTTGGCAATGCCGAAGTTGTATCACCATTATGGGCCCCAAGGTAGACGAAGTTGGCGCCTAGATGGCTGCACTTGTCCCCCATTTGGAGCCAAAATAGTTCGCAGAAGCTCACTTAAAATCCTGGTCCTGCTGGGGGAGGGCCGAACAGAATCTGACAGATAGCTTCAATGCCGACGTTGTCTCACCCAAGCTGATCCCAATTAGCGTCATTGTGGGCCCCAAGGTAGACGAACTTGGCCCCAAGATGGCTCCAACGCAGCCGTAAGTTCGTGCGCGGTGTGGTCTTGAATGCAAATTTTCGACAAAGTTGCTCACAGACCGACTCAGAATTCACTTGACCGACTCAGTTGGACATGATCGACCTCCTTGGACCTGTGGTGCTCAACCGAGTTGGTCCTCCAAAGGTCTAAGCCGAGCGACGCAGAAAGCTTGGCCAAGTGGAGCTCCCTGCTTTTGCCGTCCAACCGCTTGATTCATCGCGCAAGCGTGGACCAAAATCATGCGCTAAGGATTGTGAGGGTTGCTGCAAACCAAAGCACACAGGATTCGGACCGACCAGGTTGACCCAGTACACCGTCAACTGAGTCAACCAGGCTCAACTGAGTCAACTGGGTAAACCAGGACATCACATTCACCGGTACCCAACCCGACACAATCTATATGGTAATCATGTCATAGATGCATATAATAACTACAATGCGCTATCATGCTTGTGTTTCCTTAGTACGGGAAACAATTGCAACATGTTTTTCACTTTTAGGATCTCATATTTTTACTAGATCGTCTCTTTGTTTGGGGCCACTTAAGCACTGGTGCGACGCGTTGTCAAGAACACGTTCAGTTCACCTGGATACAAATTAAGTAAGATTCACCGATGTTGGAAGCGATTGGTCTATCAGGTAATGTTGCTGGGTGGATCTTGGCCTGTTACAGGGACGAGGCCCAAGATGCTTTTGAAAGAGTTTCTTCTTGTGAACTCAGCTTTGTCAGGGGTTTGCACTGTGCTGAGAGGAGCCTTGGCATACCAGCAGCCTTCGTTGCTCCAGGGGACTTGAGCAAATGTGCGAACGGCTGGCCTCGCATATCAAGCTGCAACAGACGACACATTGGACTTGACTCAATCTGGGCCAGGTTTCCGCAAAGTGAAGTGACTGTTGAGCAAAAATACCGGAGGAACCCCGGTTCGACGCTGTATTGCTTGAGACGTCGACAGATCCACACTCAGAGCGAAGTGTAGACCCGCTTCTGGGGAACTGCACCGTGGCCAAGTGACACTCCACTGTTGGCGCTCCACTGTCGCAGACACTCTTTACTTTCTTTTGGGCCCGATGAGATGAGGCGATACGGTGATGTGCGATGTGCGAGCGATACAGGCCACACATCATCGCTCGCTTGCCTTCCGTCGGCGATGTGAGAAAGGCCAACTGAAGCATCATCCACTGTTACAGTTACAGGTAGGATAGACCCAAATTTTAGGTTCTATTGCCATTGCGATTCTCCTTATCTGCAGGTTATCACTTTGTCAATTGGCCTCAACAATTTGATGATGATGAACCGGGTCCGATCGGCTTTACACCACCTCAAACTGTTGTTGAAGTCTTCACACAAATTGAAATTGCTCTTGAAAGATGCTTCGTCAAATCACATTTCTTGTGGACGATTACCCTTTCGTATCTCTCGAAGACCTACCAGCTTCTAACCAGGACGGTCGGTCCTGATGATGCTCGGCACTGTCTATGCTCAGAATCGTGGTCAAACTGGCACCACTGTGGCACCGCAGCTTTGGCAAAACCCATCATTCAAATCACACAGCGACCCACAGTTCCAACCGACAGTGTCAGAAAGAATCCTTTGCTCAACAGGCTCAACAATCGGTTTGAAACGAGAACGCAAACAGTTCGCGAATGAGCTGTGTAAGCATAGCATAGCTATAGAATGCTATAGATATGTCCAACTTTTTCCCACTTGTTCACAATGCCAGCCGCTGAGTTCATTCTCTCAGCTGTTGAAGTCATTTCAGTTCGCTCATTTCATAATACCCTCACTTAGCTCACTGAGTTGGTCGTAAACCCTCAACTTCTGTTTATTTTCATACCACAACTCAAGGGAAGCTAATGGTCGCAACAGCAGCAGCCCCCACTCTAGCACCGGTGCAGCCGTGTTCGCTTTCCGCTTCCCAAACAGGTCAGAGTCTCATGTCTCATGGTCACCCGGTGCCGGAAAACCGCGCAGCGGATCCCTGGTAGGGCGAGTTGAACCTGGAGATGGTGAACTTCGCCACAGCGTTGTGGCAGGGGTCCGTGGCACCCAGAAGTCGTTGGCAGGTGTGGGGTGTTTGGAGGGAGAAGAGAGAAGCGACCTGGTTTCTTGGAAAAAATCCAATCGACTTATCCATTGTCCAGGTGAGGTGTGTTTGTATTACAGTGCTTTGTGATGTGAATGGGCTGAATGACCAAGTCGTGCGTGCTCTCTCATGTCGCCCAGCCTCCGATGTGCTTTCGTGGTCGCCGCTTTCGGGGCCGACATGGGCGAACGTCCACGAACATCGACGGCGTGCGGGACGTCAGACGAAACATTCAATGAACATCTTGGCCTCCCAGACACTCCGTGAATGTATGGAATATACTACATTGACGCCTCAAACGGACGTGCCACTCAAGCGGAGTGTTGCACGGCCGTCGGTTCCAATGAACGTGACTTGCCAGCATCATTCGTGCTCTTCGCTGAAATTCAGGAGAGGGACAGGGCATGACTCTAGCTTTGGTCATCTACAAATTGCATCAAAATGCCCAAGAATCCCAAGAATGCCCAAGAACTGCTGATGCAGCAATGCAGTTGTTTACCTTTTCGACTATCAGCAGTGGCTGGGCTCGTTTCCTTTCTCCATCTTCGCATTTCCACCCGCAAGTTTTCCAAAAGCTCTCATCACCAGCTTAGCATAGGTGCATGGATGTATAATGATGAAAATGAAGAACCAAACACATCAAGTACAGAACCAAGAGTACCGGGCTCCAAGCGCCTCTTCCAGGGCCCAGCCGCTCATCGGATGTGGATGTTTTTTTTCGCCCGTCTGGCGATCCACTGGACGATCCGCCAGTCATGGAGATCCATCAGTCTATTTAGTGTCAGGCTATGTGAATGGGCCCCAAACAGGATGGGGAACTGGGCCACTGATGATCGCTTGGAAAAAACTGATGAGAACCAGTGTTGCCAGGCAAAATGTCCTTGGGAAACTGAGGTGGGCCTTGATGTTGCTTTGGCCCGTGAACTTCGCTGTGCTGACCAAACTGGACACGGCTGTCGGGTCACTCAGTTGGGCGACATACTTCTCACGGCATCACTGCTCCACCGTGGCGCGCTTAAGGAGAAAGGGTGGAAGCGTGAAAGGTCGCGGAGATTCCACAAACCGGTCGTTCAAAAATTAATTCTAAGCGTAGGTTGTTACATATCACATCATATCATGTATGATAGGTCAGTTGATATGTTTTGAATTTGGACCAAAGCACTTCAGAAGCTCCGGGGCAAGTTCTTGGGGGCGCCCTGGGCGTGTTTGGAAATAAGGGCCAGAACCTATAGGTGAACTGGTCCACTTTACAGAACGAATGATTCGGAGTCTGTGAACAAGCAGAGGGCAGTTCCGCCGGGGCCTTCGTGTTATGACAGGGTCCAAACGAAAGCCGGGCATGCCATCTTGTTGAAAGAACACCCGTGTGGCCCGGGTGCCGACATGTGCTGCTGCCGGGTGTCGACGTGTCGTTTTGTTCGTGTGCCATCGATTTCTCAGACCTACTTCGGCAGCGCCTTCCATGCTTTCAAACTGGCTGGGCCTTGGCTACTGGCATACATTGCGGTGAACCTCGCCTGGACACCCGGGGTCGTGGGTTGGTGGATTTGGATGGTTTCAGTGCCTGAACTAGCAGGGGGGTTGAAGCCACTCGGACCTAAGTGTTGATCACCTGGGACCTCAACACCCTTCCGGGATCCAATTAGCGTCATGCTCCCTTTAGTACTTCCGACGGCGACATGCAGCAGAAAGCACACCAGTACTTCCAAAGGATTGAATCAAAGGCGCAGAAGAATCACTCAGAAGGAAGACTGCAATGATACAGTATGGATCGAGGCGGTTCTGGTCTTGTACGTGAGGTTGGTAGAAGATCTTGGCAGTTACCAGTTAGCTTGTGCTAGGTGCTAGGCGCTAGGCGCTTCCGCTGCTTGGGACACCATGCCGAGGAGAAAGTGACTTCACTCGGACTTTGGACTTGGGTAGAAAGAGATTTGAGTGACATGAAAAAGATGCACTGAACAAGTGTAAGGTGCTTCATGAACTTCATACTCTGATTCGAATTCCATCCTCAGTTGGGCATTGCTATTGGATGGACAACCACTTCAAGTAGGGTTTCAATCTCTCCCAAAAACAGAGCGCTGTGATGCGCGATGCATTTCCTGAGCCGCCTGATGTGCTCAGCGTTTTGACTGGAACCCTCGATTTCGGGGGGAGATGAGGAAAACGCAAAGGGTCATCAAGGGTCATCCGGTCCAGATGGCCGAGGAACTTGCTTTGGAGGGACCATTCATTTTTGAGCCATTTGTTCTGTTTAACATTCTGAGGGCTGCATTTGAACAATGCAGAGTCCTACTTGGGGCAGCTTACGCCATACTGAGCTACTCAAGACATTGTAGTGAAGGCAGATTCTATATATATAAGCTCAGACTACAGACTGCTCTGACCCATACCGCTCAATTCTGCGCTCACCTGCTCCGAACTGCAGTGCCCGAACAATCCATGCAATTCTGAAATGCTTACATTGACCCCTGAAAACTGCCTAACGTAGGTTCCTTCAAGCGCACACTCCAAAAACACAGGTGCGTTCCACTCAAGAGCTAGCTCAAGAACTAGCTCAAGAACCGTTTGAGCACCTGTATGTAATATGATGTATGAGCGTCGTTCAAAAACCCACCTCTTCCTTGTTAGTGATCGAATTTCAAATGCTGATTTCGAGTGTGCTCTCACTGCAGTCGCGAAAGGTTCGCGAAGGTCCTGCGAAAGGTCTGCGCAAGTCATGTTGGTGACCTGGCCACGCTGCAAGAACAATTGCTCTTCAGACTTCCGATTGCTTTTTCCCGGGTTGGGAAAAAGCAAATTGGAAATCTGAAGCAATTTTGCTTTTTCCCGGGCCGGGAAAAAGCAAATTGGAAGTCTGAGCCTTTTGCTTTTTCCAGGCCTGGGAAAAAACAAATTGGAAGTCTGAACCATTTTGCTTTTTCCCGGCCCTGGAAAAAGCAAATTGGAAGTCTGA